ATCAATGTTATATAAAATCAATTGAATTAAACAAAACTTAAACATAAGCTACACCAATTGTCTAGAATTATTGACAGTACTGTCGATGATCATCAATGCACCTTGATAAACGATTATAGACACTTATGTTATTAGTGATATTGGGAATCACTGACAACGCTTCATTGATCGACGAGATACGATTGGTGATTGTCAATGATATGACTATTGGTAATTCTGATTGAAATGAATATATGTTGTTTATTGATACAAATTTACCTACAACGATAACATTGGTGTTCATCGATACACCTTCATTAAATGATTCCTGACAATAATATTGTTCGTGTTGTTATTAGGAAATATCAACGGTGCTTTCGTTATCGACGGGAAACCATCAATGATCACCGATGTTATGACCGTTGGTGATTCTAGTCGAAATCAATCTATGTTGGTAATAGTGGTCATTGGCATACTTTCATCAACGATTATAGAGAGTAATGTCGTCAATAATGTTGTCTAGAGTCACCAACGGAAATATGCTGATTTCATTCACAAAATTTAATTCTTTCTGTGGTGGTGACATATAAATTAAGATAAACCTTTATTCTTTTTTTTTTCTTTTTTAAGATAATATTGCCAACTTAATAAGTTTTCTTATAACATCTATTTTGTACCTACAAAATTTTAGGTATTTAACTTTTATATTTATTTAATAATTTTTTAGAAAATTATATTTCTTAAACTATAAGATTGTAATCTCCACAAAACAGGGGCTAACTAAAAGATCGTTCTTCATTTTAAATTATTTTTTAATGTTATTGATTGCTAAAAGAATTTTCAATGAGAAAAGGTAAAACCAAAAATATGTAAATCTAAGAATTTGAGGGGCTTCAATAAATAGGAGCCTGAGGCGATCATCTAACTCATTTAATGCTTTTGAGCTCACTTTATTCCTATTTAAAGAAAGGACGGTTTGACCACCTTGTAGAATGCGTTGATACTAGGTGATATAGAAGGCTTTTTTCAAGGTTAGCATGTGCCTTGTTTTACTTGACATGTTGTTTGTGTCATTTACCTTAAATAAAAGTACTTTGTTTTGCTTTCAAAAAAGGGGGAATAATAACATATTTTTAACCTTCACTTCCTAAATTTTATTTTACATTAAAATTTACTTATATATGAACTTTTTAGCCTGAAACTTGCTCTCAAAGGGTGCAATTTAGCTTATTGCTAGAGCATACTTACATAACTCGAAAAAAGGTTTATAGGTACATCAAGAAGCATAGAGTAAAGCTCATTATTAAAATATATTTTTATATCTCTACAAAAGGTTTATTACAACTTATATTAAGCACTTAAAACTCATTTTGGGGAGTTGATCATTGTTGAAAACATATTATCTTAACCGATAAGAGTTTTGTGATTGCAATCTGCATTAATCAGTAATCACTTATAATTTATTCGAGTACATGAGGAGGTAGTGTTGCTCCATGAGATGCCATTAATTAGCTGCTTCAATCTTATGTTGTAGCAAATTTCAGAAGAGAGTACAAATTAAATTGAAGCAACATTTAAGCTACCTTAAACTAAAATGATATTTTTCCAAATTGCCAACCAAATATTCCAGATGGCATACTCAAATGACCATTGCTTTGATGTAATCAATAAGACCGTCAAAATTGCAATATGATGATCCACCTTCACTAACAGCCTTTCTTGCCAGTTTTGCCATATTTTCTGCCCTTTCCATGAACTCATTCTTCCTTACTTCTATAAGCTCTCTTACAACTTTCTCAATAATTTCTCGATCACAAGTATCTTTCACGTCGAACCCAATTTTCCAAACCTCACTCACAAACCTACTGTTTATCGTTTGATCAGCAAAATATGGCCAACATATCATTGGCACACCAGCTACAATACTCTCCAGAGTTGAGTTCCATCCGCTGTGAGTTAAAAATCCACCCACCGCAGCATTGTTTAGTACTTCTTCCTGAGGTGCCCATTCCACCATGTAACCCCTTGCCTTTGTACCCTCCTCTAATTCTACTGGAATTTGATTCTTCTTGTCTTCACCTACAATAGAATCCGGCCTCATAACCCACAAGAACCTCTGTCCACTATTCACCAATCCATGCCAAAACTCCAATAGCTGGTCTCTTGATACAACTGTTATGCTTCCAAAACTAACATAGATTACAGATTTTGGTGGCTGTTCATTTAGCCAATCGATACAGCTCCTGTCTTCTTCCCAAAAACTTGACGAAAGAATGGATTTCTCTGATTCTTTTTGTGCGAGTCTCGACTTCAGGTGGGCATTGTTTGGTCCAATGGTGAAAATTCTTGGTATGTGCTTTCGTATATGAGATACTATTGCACCTTCTAAATCTTCAAAAGTGTTCAAAATGACTGCTTGAGCTCTCGTGGTTTGTCGAGTTTCAGATTCGATGATGTGAAGTTTTGGCTCATTGATGTCGTTGACCTGGCAAAAGCTTGGCAGGTCACGGTACCTTAGGAAACCTTCCATTCCTGGAACGCTATTTACTATTTGATCCTTGCCAATACCAGCTGCAAAATTCATCAAGAAAAGAAAAATCAATCTGTGTTGAACCATATGATCTAAAAGTTTAAATTGTTAGACAAATACGATACCTTTGAGGGGAATTTCGCCAGCTGCAATGAGTTCAGGTATACAAAAATAAGCCCAAAAGGAGCAAGCACTAATAGTACGAAAAAAGATAAGGGGAATTCCTTTCTCTTCAGCAAAATCACAGGCAAAACTCAAGACCCCGTCAGCTATGATGCAGGTAACTGGCCTTCGGGTGTCGGAACTCAATAAATTCTTCTCAATCATCATCTGCTTGAAGAGTGGTCCTGTTATGTTTTTTGTCGACGGCAGGATGTCCATGGCTTGCTCCCCCGCTCGAGGATGGTCATCAGGAAGCCCATCGGAAATGGATTCAAAACGGAACCCGGGATACTGCTCGAAACGGGAAATGACGGTGGAGTGTTTGAGGAGGCGGCTGTGGCTGAAATCAGAGACCATGAACGTAACATCGAGGCTAGAAAGACAAAGGAGTTCGGCCAGTTTGAGCATGGTATTCACATGGCCTTGAACTGGTAGAGGAAATATAAGCACATGAGGAGGTATTGTTGCTCCATGAGAACCCATTAGATGCTTCAAATTCAATCTTGTAACAAATTTCAGATAATCCTTAGTCTGTTGAAAAATCACGATTTGGATGAACCCAATATTGCACAAAATACAGGTTGTAGCTGGCAATATGAGACATCGTATAAAGTCATAATTGTTGTAAATAATATGATTATTAGTGAATAACAATTATACCTTTACAATCTTAATTTTTATTACAATTGTATCCTCAATTCTTCCATATAAGTATGGTGCTTTGATTTTTAATATAATACATACAAGTTTATTAACTTCTCTACCTTCTTCTCTCTATTTTATAACTCGTTATTTGTACGATTTTATCAAGATAAAAATAAATTAGTTAGAAGATAACTAATTTTAGAAGTATAATCATATATGTGTACCAAAATCAATTAATACTGTCGAAAGCCGCCACAGCTGTAATCAGATTCAATTTGAATTTTGTCAATTCATTGCATAATACTTTATCTATTCACTGTCGCAAAATTTCTATTGTAAAACGCTTTAGTCAACTTCTTTGTCCTATCAATGTATAATGCTTTGGTCAATTCCGCGTGAATTTTGTCAATTCATTGCTGCAAAATTTCTTTTGCAGAATTTCACTACGCAATCTTTTTGTGCATAATGATTAATTTTTTATGCTTTGTCCGGTTTATATATTCTATTTATTTGATAATATATTTTTATATATAAATTCATATCATGCCTGTTTAGTAATTAATTTTTAATCATGTCTGTTTGATAATTAACATTTTTAACCTGATTAAATAAGTTTATATTTAAAAATAAATAAATTAATAATGTATCTCAATATTACTCTCGAAGAAATACAGCTCTATAAATAATGCATAGCTCCTAAAGATTTAATAATTTTAAATAACAAAATAATATTGCTCCTAAAGTGGCACGAAATTATTACATATATTCTAATTCCATTTATTTGCTCTCAAAAAGAATAATTAAGTAAATCTAAAATAAATTATGTTTTTTGCTTCTAAAAATAAATTTTTACATAATTTGTATTTTAAAACAATAATATGGCATTGCTCCTAAAGAACATGACATTAAACTTCTAATATTTTAAAAGAATATTGATACATTGCTTTGAAGAAACAATAAAAAATACCAAATGCTCTCAAAGTAGTACATGTCTCCAAAAATATACCATATGTTTAATTTATGAATTTTTGTTTATACATGAAAGAAAACATACAATTCACATCAGGTGGACATTGATCCTTATATGACTATATCATAATTAATCATATTTTTTGAGAATTGACCGTGTCTTTTGTTCGATTGTATAGTTATCCAAATGACAAATATTGTATTGGGCTAGACGTTTAATTATTGAATGTGTTATTGTCTGACATAATTAGTTGGATCATTACTGAATCAATAATGGAGTGAAATTGAGAATTCAAATGGACATTCGACGAAGAATCGAGAAATTCTAAAATCCAATGAATTCATATATGATATTTGTTATCTCTATTATTGGTCATTTACCATTACTAGCTAAATAATGACTGAACTCCTTATATTTTTTTAAATTATTTTGGGTGATATATAGGGACTCATTACATTTCAAGTTGACCATCTAGATATTATTTGCATTTAACAAATTTGATACATCTATTAGATGATTGCATGATATTCGCAATCTGAAATTTGCGAAATTACTGCTCAAATGTTAAATTATGAGCATGATTTTTTTTATTATACAATCAAGATGATTTGTCTTGTTAATGTTAATGAGTTCAAATCTCAACGTTTTAATAAGTGTTAGTAATGATATCAATAAATGGTCTAACATTATTATTTATTAAGTGCCTCAAATTAATTTCTTAACAATTACTACTGAAAACAAAGTATTTTCCATTTCTATTTAGGAAGTATTATTATGCAACATGCCAACATTAAGTTCTCCCTATTATATTTAATGTACTAAAATGAAAAGTAAAGAATACTAGGAATAAATACCTAGTTTAAACCCTTATCTCAAATAGGTAATATTTTATAAAGCGATTTGCTGATGTCAATTTGACTATACAATTCTCTCAACACTAGAGGGAATTAAGAAGCTAAAAATAATATACAAATGTATCATTATATTACCTAAATTCTCGCAAAAGATAATTCAGACCAAAAGTTCAATAGATAATTAATTTAAATGTATTTATTGACCAAAGAAATCAACAATATCTCATACATCAGTTTTAAATGCTCTAACCGGAATTAAAATTCTTGAGGACAATTAGTTAATATTATATTTGATAAATTTATGGCATGTCTGAAGTATGATGATATTCGATTCTAATATAAAAATTTCTCAACGAAAATGGAGCAATTATCAAAGATGATCCCAGTGAAGAGATATGTATTCTTTATGAGTATTTAGACATAACTAATTATAAAACTCTAGAAGAAATTCAAGTATTTGAAATTTTGAAAGTAGAGATATCTTAATAAGTTATATTACTATTAGGAAAAAATGGAATCGAAAAAGAAAAAGTTGTTGACAACCCTTTTACATGTAATGTAATGATTCATATTATGAGTAACAATGAATCGAAATAAATTCGTTGAAGCAAATTAGTCATTGGCCATTAAAATGACACAATTCCAGCAAATTTGAATTTACTAGAGAAACTTAAAATTTCTGGACCTGCAATCCAAAAGGTTGATAAAATATTATATGAAGATGATAATGCTTGAAAGCAATGACAAGACAGTATGAAACATACTTCAACATAAGATAGTTCAACAATTTTGAATGAAGAGAGTGCAGCTTGTATTGCACAACTTAAAGAATACTATATCAAAAAATGTGGATGAAACATATTTCTCCAAATTATTCCATATACATGAGTTTTAGAAGAAAGATAATATCGTTGTTAAATAAATTCGTTAAAGTAACAATGTGGTTGTTTTATTCACAAAATTACCACTGACATCTAAATTTGAGAAACTGGTTAACGAGATTGGAATGTAACGAATTAAAGATTTTCTGTGATCAATGTTCGGGGAGTAGCCATACCCTTTTTCCTTCATATAATTTTATTCAACTGAATTTTCCTGGCAAGGTTTTAATAAAGCAACATTTACTTTTAATATTTCAAATAACTGTACTTTTTTCCTTCATTTAATATTTTTGTCACATTGGATATTTATTATATAAGTTTTTAACGAGGTAGATACTTTGTAATATGTCATTCAAGGTGAGTGTTGTAAATAATATAAATGACAATTATACTTCTGCAACCTTAGTTTTTATTACCATTGTATCGTCATAATCATGGGGCTTTGATTCTCAATATAATATATATATGTTTATTGACTTCTCTACTTTCTTCTTATTTTCTCTCTATTTTGCCTGTGTTTGACACTGATTAATTTATTTTACCTTTTTCTACTTGGATCATTTTCAACCACACATTTACACAACAAAATATTTTATACATAAACCTAAAAAAAATTTCCTAATTTTTACCACTTATTTTCTTAAAAGACTCTTCAAAACTCATTTTTTTCAATCAATGCGAATCAAAAAAAGTCTTTATAACAATAATATATAAATAGGGTTCTTGAATTTTATGTGGCCCTTTAGATATTGTCAAGTCATTCCAACTTAAGACCTGATCGTGCCGACTTGGTAAATATCACTAAGCATAAGTGTCAATAGAAAAGGTCGTGTCGGGCTGATAACTAGCCGACACCAAATTACTTAAAAAAACTTTACCTTTTACACTCGATTGACACCCGAGTTTCTAATTTATGATAGAAAAAGTTAAAAGATACTTGTCTAAACGATTTTGCTGCTAATTAAAACCTAGATGAGACTCTAATTTCAGTGCAAAGAGGTGCCCACTCACATTTTGTCAATAAAGAATATTGTAAAATCATAAAGGTGAAAGGATAAATTACTAATTTATGCAGCAAATTTCTGTTGGAAAAATAAATAAATAAAATGGTTAATGAGATTTTACAACTGTTTTTGTTTCAAATTCTATAGTTAATTTTTCATTATATTGGTGTTTACAAAGTCCTAGAGACTGTTGTAACCTTATTTTTATTTTTATTTTTTGTTGTTGTTGTGTAAAATAAAAAATTAATAGAAAATTGAAACATTTACATCCTAGTACTATATAAGGAGGTGTTCTCTTCCTTATTACACATACCAAAAATTTGAGAGTTCTCTCCTCTCTTTATTTTCTCTCTCCCTATTTGTTTCAAGAGTCTTATTCTTAGTAGCTTAGATAATTTTTTGTTCAAGTTGTTGATAGAAGTATTAGCATTCTCAGTTCGTCTAAAGCAATGACAATGTAGTAGTCAGTTGCTTCAACCGTTGTATTTAGGAGATGACGCCATTAGTCTTCTTGTACCACAGTGAGGGAGGCGAATCTGTTTTAAGAAATCCATGTATAATAGAGGCCCTAGTTCCTTTAAATACCGCTACTACATTAACAATCAAATTTCACATTTCTTATTGTTATTTTGTTTGTTGTTACATTTCTTTTCATTATTTTATAATTTCGGCAGCATTTCTAATTTCTTTTGTATTTTTCCTAATAATTTCTTGGGCAAAAATCTAACAAATAAAGAATGATGATTTCTTGAAAAATAAGGTAGTTTTGACAGTTTCAGACCAAACCTGCTCGTTCGATTTTACCATGATCAAAGAAAAAGATCTCTTAGAAGATCTATTGATCACAAGGCACCAACTTCCACGTCTCACATAATTCCTGTTTCCCCAATTGAATCTACCACTATTCCATAACTATACCTCAATGGAATCCTTCCCAAAATCTGTGAAACTCTCTTATACATTCTCCTCTCCGTTTTCTATGCTCCCCTCTCCAATCGATTGACCGCACCTCGCTCACTGGCAATCGTCGTTTCTGGAATCTCCGTAGTCTCGTAATGCCTCTTTTGCTTCCACCAATAATTGGCCCTTCTTTGCATTCCTGCCACCACAAAGTTTATCAAAATATCATCACAGTTGTTCATTTCAACCACAATAATCTAGGTTTTGATGTATTTTGGATTGCATGTGTATGTTTCAAGGTGGGTTCTGCTAAGGATCATGAACTTAGTTGGTTTTTGGATTCAATGTCGTTTTTGTTAAATTGTCCCCATTGGTGG